CGCTGCCGCAGCCACGCTTCAAGGGCTCGCACCCCTGCCTGGAGCTAGCCCTGAGCCCTGGCTGCGGGGGTCCCGGGGGAGAAGCCAGGGAGGGCCTCGTGCCCTCGTGAAGGCCCCCAGGGAACATTCGCTTGCCACGTGGACGGGTCCCTACGTTACACGTCTGGCCCAGCAGCTGCCATCTCTCTTACGGGCTGGTGCCGTGACCTCGCGTAACCAGCGCTGGGAGCACAGCGTGGCCTGGACGCCTTCCCGGGGACACCTGACCACATCCCGCCGGGGTGAACGCGCTGGGGCAGCCCCCGAGCAGAGCAGGGATACGGGCTGCGGGCTCGCAGCATCACTCCAGGTTTCAGGGTCCTCCTGAGACTGGAAGCTCAGCGAGACAAAGTCACCGAGCCTTAACTCAGGCGGTACGGATTCAGCTGGAAAAACCCCCCCCGCCGCAGAGCTCCAGCTGTCGCATTCCAATGGCCCGACTGCCGACCCAAACAACAGCCCTCCAGAAGACAGCCTTATCCAGTTTAACCAGGCAAGCAGCAGCCCCCGACATCCAGACTGCTCCCAGACCCCCGGAGCAGGGGGAGCGCAGGCCGGCCCCGGCCAGACGCAGGGTGCGGTAACGCCGTACGCGTGTGCAGGCCTCTGGCAGCGCCTTTCCCGTCCCTGCTCTGTGCGGGGCTACGCGCACCCACCGTAACACGCGATTTAAACACACTTCCAGATTCTTCTTTTACGCTGTTTTTATGGTGGGTTTGGGAACCGAAACAGCGTTTCTTTGGGGAACAAGAGGCTGACAGACATCTTTTCTAGACAGCACAGAGCAGCCTCGGCTTTCTGGGCCGGCGCAGCCACCTGAAACGCCCCGGTTGTGCCAAGCTCGCCGGAGCCCAGCGGTGTCACCCTGCTCTTCCCAAGGCAGAGCAGAAATTCGGGTTTGTTGTACCAAACGGCCAGTGCGGTGCCCAGGCCTGGCACCCCGCAGGGGAGGGACGCTGGCGGAAGGAGGACGGCGGGCGCCTTCTCTTGATTCGTGCCATTTTTCTCCCCAAACCGCTGCTGTTTCGGCTGCTCCTTACGCGCT